GCCGAAGAGGTTCTCTACCATGCACCTATCCTTCCCCTTGGATTCGACCATCATGGTGCTGTCATGCAATTTCTGCATGCACTAATCAAGGACGCGAAACTGGCGAACCTCGTGCATCATCTCGTCCTTCCAGTCACGAAGCGACTGCACAACGATGAGTCAGAATGTCAAGATCAACAATGCATGCGCGGTCTGGAGGAGCTCAAAGCTGATATAGATCGCCGAGTGGGCTTCGGTTATAAGCTTTGCACTCAAGTTGAGGGTGAGAAAGAGATTTCCATCGACGGAAAGATCGACGGACAAACGATGCCTGCATGTTATTTCGAGCCGTCACTCGGGGGTCTAATCCTCAGCCTGCTCCCCAACCTGGAAACACTTGACATGCAAACCTACCAAGAACCATTTGGCCCGGATGAGCATGGTAAGGTACCACCAAGGATCACCGAGACAACGGTCGAGGACTGGTTCGGCGCTCAAAGCAGTCAAGTTCGCGACAACACCGTTGGCGGTCTCGCTGATTTACAATACCTGACTTGTGAAGAGATCACAGACTTTGACTTCTTTCGAGGGCCAAATCTAACATCATTGGAACTAAAATGGGATACTTACTTGGGAGCGAACCCCATCGCAGCCCCAGTACCCGCAGTCATTTCTACCAGCATCACTTCTATACATCTTGAGATGACCATCCAAATGCTCGATGGCAGGAGGTGCATCAGAAGCGAGTATCTACACGCTCTTCTGCAGGGCTCGCCAGCGCTTCGGGAGCTATCAATATTTCTCTCTTACCCTGAACGGCACTCTCACCTTGACTTTGAGGACAGAGACGACCTAGGTTGGGATAACATCATCGAAGCTCTGAAACACGCAGCGCCAACGCTTGAAGAGTTGTTTATTGATGTCGAGGTACCCTTTACGGATGAGAGCGTATCGACACGGGCTCGGTCCATTAACACTTCACTGCGCCATTACAAGTTCGACAAATTGAGGCGGCTACGCATCCCGAATGAAGCGCTATGCAGCGTACAAATGAGTCATAGAGTTGATTCGGTCGACTCGCTTCCTTTGGGGCTAGAGACGATCGAAGTTGTAGATCCTGATTACCGCACCTTGGCTTGGGTGGATGCTCTCACCGTTCGTAAACGTGAGGGGCATCATACCGCACTGGGCGCAGTCGCATTAAGACAGCGAGATTTGGTCGAGGCCGCGCAAGTCTGGTCAGATGCGGAAGAGGAGGGCATTGCGATTATTAGAGCCGTCTTGCCCACTCACTAGCCGCTAGAACATCGTAGCTGATAAGTCCGTAAGGGCGTGTTCATAAAGGACCGATGTATCACATGTAACGCCATGATGAAAGTGATGGGATTGAATGAAGTGCAATGGTGAGTAGCTGTGATGAGGCGCGCCGAGGTCGGACGCGACGCGCACGCGCCTAGCAGCTGATCTAGATCAAGATAAGATAAGATCAAGCGAACTCACATTGGATGTTCTCCACCCGAGCATCGAACCACGCGCAAATTTTCGCCAGCCACAACACGACTTTCTTCTGTGGCCGTCAGCCGCAAAGTCGCCTCTAACAGATTATTTGCGGATGTAAAGCTCGTAGCACCGGAAAAGAGCCGCAGATGGGGTTCAAGCCGTGTCTGGACCCGCTGAAGTGACCCATCTGATAAGATTATTCCATCAACACCATGCTTCGAAGGGCTAGTACCCCTTCAATGCGCACCCATCATGGCTCAGGCCTTACCCAACATCTCGTGTTCGCCGTCTAGTCCTGCTGTTGCGACGTCGTGGTCAAGCTCCGGGACAAGCTCTAGTTCAAGGCGTCCAACGGAAGAAGCTTTGGCTTGGGTATGTCGGCCCACACGAGTATCACGCTTAGCTGTTGCTGCCGTACAGGACCCAGAGTTACGGCAATGTATTTGAGCTTTGGTGCCCTGCGCGGTAGGCAGATTGCGATGCGTTCAGTTCGTCCAGACAGATTATCAGATCGTTGAGACACGCCTACAACTATGGATTCTATCGCTGCTGTCCAGCCTGGCACCGAGCCTACGAGGCAGAAGAACATTGACGTTGTCGATATCGACGAAGAAGATGCGATTCGCAAGGTTGAAGAAGCTAACATGCCTTCTGTTTCTGCGCAGGAGGGTGTTAGGGAAGTCGAAGCTGTTACTTTGGCGTGGACCAAGACTTCTCTAGCATGCGCATTCTTATGGTACGTCGCTGGAGATTCTAACTATACGCCGACGGTGATACTGACACGACTCCAAGCATGTGGCTCTTGTACCTCACGAATGCGTTCCAGTCATCCATTACCTCGAACCTCACACCATACGTCACGTCCGGATTCGAAGAGCATTCCCTCATCACCGTCATTACCATCGTCTCGAACTCCATGGCTGCAGCGGTATACATTCCCACCGCCAAGCTGCTCGATCTCTGGGGTCGTGCCGAAGGTTTCGCTACCATGGTGTGCTTCGCTACGCTTGGCTTGATCATAATGGCTGCATCTACAAATCTAGCGACGTACTGTGCTGCGCAGGTCTTCTACACTATTGGATTCGGTGGTATGACTTACTGTGTGGACGTCATCACAGCGGATTCGAGTAGTCTGAAACACCGAGGTCTGGCTTTCGCATTCACGTCTTCGCCATACATTATCACAGCGTTTGCTGGTCCAAAGGCGGCTGAGGGCTTCTACAACAACATCAACTGGCGTTGGGGTTTCGGCACTTTCGCAATCATTCTGCCCTTTGTCGCTGCACCACTGTTCTTGCTATTGAAGCTCAACCTGCGGAAGGCGAAAAGAAACGGCGTCCTTGCAAGAGAGGCGAGTGGCAGGAGTCTTTTGCAGAGCGTCGTCTTCCATATCCGCGAATTTGATGGTCAGTGTCTCCTACTGTTGAGAATTGTGATGAAGGCAGGCTAACAGCTCTGTAGTTCCGGGAGCCTTTCTACTAGCCGCCGGTCTCGTCATCTTCCTCCTTCCCTTCACTCTCGCCGACTCAGCACCAAACGGATGGTCTACGGGATACATCATCGCGATGTTAGTCATTGGCTTCGTGCTTCTGATGCTGTTCGGTCTCCACGAGCGCTTCACAGCCGGAAAGCCCTTCCTGCCCTTCGACCTCTTGACCAGCCGCTCCGTCCTCGGCGCTTGTCTTCTCTCTTTCACATACCAGATCTCGTACTACGCCTGGAACTCATACTTCACTTCCTTCTTGCAGGTCGTTACCAACCTCACGATCGCAGAAGCAGGTTACGTCGCTTCAACATTCGACGTCCTTTCCGGTGTACTACTATTGTCAGTCGGTCTCATCATCAGTAAGACAGGCTACTTCCGCTGGCTTCTTTTCATCGCCGTACCGATATATATCCTCGGTCAAGGTCTCATGATCTATTTCCGTCACCCGAACACCAGTGTAGGCTACCTAGTCATGTGCCAAGTCTTCATTGCGATTGGTGGTTCCATCATTATTCTTTGCGAGCAGATCGCCGTTATGGCCGCCGCAGATCACCAACACGTCGCCTCTGTTCTCGCACTTCTCAACATCTTCGGGTGGCTAGGCGGCGCAGTTGGATCTACCATCTCCGGCGCGATCTGGACAAACTCCTTCCCTCAGGCACTCATGGATCTACTGCCAGCGGAGGCTATGGAGAACTTCGATCTCATTTATGGTAGCTTAGATGAGCAATTGAGTTATGCAAAGGGTAGCGAGACAAGGTTGGCGATCGAGGAAGCATATGGTATTGCGCAGAAGAGAATGCTGATTGCGGGTACGGCGATCATGGGTCTTTGTTTGGTGTGGGTTTTCTTGATCAAGAACTTCAATGTGGCGAAGATGCAACAGACGAAGGGGCGGGTGTTCTAGGCGGCAGGATGGATTCAGCGCAAGGTTGTTACAAGTGAGAGAGAAGTAGTAGTGAGAGGGAAGGCTTACGTGGAGGGACTTCTCTGCCTGCAAACGGAAGTCGCGATTCTACCCATTCTCGTATATACCTGATATTCTAATCTCTGCGTCCACCACGATTGTAAGGCTGTTACTGGCGCTCCGATCTTGGGTTGCATGCACGAATTGACACTCGTCATCACGATGTCTCATGAAAATTGGCTTTCCTCCGCATACCAGTATCGAGTACTGCCCTACTACCACGCCAAATCCGACACACAGTCCTCAGCTATCTCAACTACCCCAGTTTATCTTGCAGTACCCAAGCGCACCAGTAGGATCCAGTCACCACCAACCCCGCCAATATCCGAGGCCCAGCGCCTTGGTCGCGAGATCGAGATCAGGAAAAGAACAGGCTGGCTCGAAGTACTGGGAGCGCGAAAAGCACGACTACAAGCCGTTCAAAATGGCGTGTCAACGACTGTTCCTGAACCACTTCTTGGCTTGAGACGCGAACTCATGGTGAGTCTGTTTGCGCTATGAAGCTTAGAGCAATCTGGCTAATGTGACATTAGAATAAAGATGACGTTGGTCGAGATATACTGCGTCAAGTTGACTTGATCGATGACGGTATCGAGAGGATCATCGAAAGGCGCAAGATGGAGGAGGCTGCGATGGCGCTTCTACACATGTCGAGGACGAAGGCTTGTTGCGCTTGTGCGCAGGACATTCGAAATTCTGGGGATTCGAGACCCAAATGATGATGCCAACGAAAAGACTGTAGGGCCGACCTTTGGAAGGGGGCGGAGATGGGATTGATGGGCGTGCGGGAGCGTGACTGAAAGCTCGACCCAATAGAGTTGACAATGTTTTCGTGTTATAGTCATGGTTGGAGATCAAAATTTCAAAAGCATAATATGTGTTTCGGCAACCGCTGTAAGCAGCCCCATGTAATTGCAAAACCTTCGTTGAATGTAGATCTAGACCCAGTCTTTGTAAAGGCCCAAGTAACGTTCAAAATCTAGTTCTGCAAGCTCAGTTTATATTACATCTCCTTCCACCAAGTCTTCCCAGATATCTTGTGTATCATAAAGGCGTCTGCAAGAGCCACTAAGCCCCATGCCACTTGTGGTGTCCTCCAATTCCTCTCCACCGAGCTGGAGGCCTCAGATGGCTAACCAAAACGCAAAAGAAGAAGAGCAAACAAATAGTTGGCAACATCCAGTTGCTCTCCATGTAATGCTTCTGACTCGGCTTGCTCGTATTGATGAGACATATGAGACAGACAGCGAAGCCGATGAGAACGATGGTGAGAAGGCGCACGTATTGACGTAGATGGCGCTTTACGGGTGGCAGGGAGACGAAGGCAATGATAGCCATAAATGTAAGTGCGAGTCCAGCCTAGTGCATGTCAGTAAAGAGTAATAGAGAAGGAGCGGGGCTTGACTTACGGATAGAAAAACGTAGTCGAATACAAGCTCGAAGCGCGTTTCGTACTTCTGGAGGAGTGCGGCCTTGTCGAAGAACTTTCTTTTAGGCTCTTCTTCTACCGTCGTCGGTGCAGTCTTTGGTACCGAGATGGACAAGCTGTCGAATAAGGTCTGGATCGCCATGCTTTCTGCGGTGTTCAAGCTTTTGGTGATCATGTCCACAGCTGTCAAGTTCTGCTCGTCCGTCAGGTGATTATCGAAGCTCTGCGCCAGGACGATCAGAGTGCTGTTCCAGGTCTCGAGTGCTTTGCTCGCATCAACGCCCTTGGGGATTGTGTTCCACAGGTAGACGTCGATCTTGCGACGGAGCGCGTCGGCGAAGAAGGTGCCGTTGGCATAGGCACCAGTCAAGCTGAGCCCTTCAATTTCGCGGAACTTCTCATCGACACGGTCCATTCGAATGAGGGCCACAACCCACATGATGAGGTAAGAGACGCCCTGGAGGACGAGGACGAGCATGATGTGGAGGAAGAAGTGTAGTGAAGCCCAGACTTGCTGCTTGATCGTACCGAAGTGCTCTTCGTGCATGCGATCGAAGTATAGCATGTAGAGAAGATCTGAAAGGGATTAGCAAGATGCTCGAGAAGCCAGGTCGATGGTTGGTAGCTTACAGATTATCAACACCGAAGAGACGATCTGGCCAGTTAGCTGAGTATCGAACTGAGATCCATTCTTGACGATTTTCGATATTGCTTTGCAGACAACGATGATGCCCTCTCCCAAGATGATCAAGGTAAGTAGCGACATGCGCTGCACGATGTGGGTACCCTTGAATGAGATGACGCGCCAGTAGCACGAGATGCCAACAGTGATGACGATTTCCGCGGCGCTGATAATGTACCATGCGTAATGTACCTTAGTCGTGAACTGCTTGCAGACACCTAACTCCAGGTTGCACGTCTCCTTGGGTAGAGCACCAGTAATGCTTCCGTACATCAGTGCCGCGATGAGCGTCGAGCCGATAACGAGCGATAGCGGCAGGACAGTCCTTTTGTGTTTGCGGACGAAGAATAAAGTGACGCTATACTGGGCCGCGAGTACCAGACGAGACACCATGAGGATGAATGAGAGCACTTGGTACTTCTGGAGTGAGCTTGTAGGCTTTCCAGGCTCCCAAGCAGGCCCGACGACAGCGAATCCGACCATAACACCAAAGTGGAGGGCTTTGGCAATTCGCTCGAATATGCAATCGGCAGTGAATCGAACGTCATAGAGCGAGTTCGAGTACCAGGTGAGCCAGAGCAAGGCAAAGAACCCGACGTAGGCGCGCAGGGAGGCACTGTCGTTGATCTCCTTCAACGAAGTGAACGTGGTCAAGTTGGCGACGAAAACTGAAAGATAGCGTCGTTAGCAAGAAACATTCAAATCGTAGAAAGGTCTAGATGCTTACAGAGATCGAAGAACAACTCTTGATTCGTGGCTTCAGCATGGCGCTTGAAAGATGGCATGTCACGCAGCTCTTGCGTGCACACCTCGACCTCGAGCTGAAGACCAGCTTCGGCATTAGGATCGTGAAACTCGCTATCGAGGACCGACTGTGTATTCTCTCGGGTTATGGCTGGGCTTTGATGTTCCTTCTCGCCGTCATCTTTGACATGGTCTTCGACCAAAGGCGAAGCAAACCACTTCAAAGGCTTCTTTTCTTCGCTATGATGGTGGTACGTGTTGCCCATCTTGACCTTGGAGATATATGAAAGAGTGTAGAAAGTGATGCAGTCTCTATGAGTCACCGGTATGAGTTATAAATGGCGAGTGTCCTCGACCTAGGTGATGGAGAGTGATGATGCCAGAGCTTATATGCAAGCAGGGCCGACTGTCTGTTATTGCGTGATTGCGTGCTACTGTGATAGTGTGGAGTCACGGGTAGCATGGGAATAACTCTGGAGATCTATGAATGTGACGCGTCAATATATTGGGGTAACTGTGAGTACCGAGTGCTGTTTGGTTGTAGACGTACAAACGCTGTCTGCACGTGCCGTGGTATGTGGAGATACAGCAGCGGATGTTGCGGTGACGATATCAGAAGCTGTGTCATATCTCCTTATCTCCGGTCCGTAACTTCACCGATGAATTCATCCTCAGATTGCAGACGACGATGCGACGGTGATGTTGTTTGTAGATTTTGTGGAGCAGGCTGGCTGTGACATCGATAACGTCACCTTATCGTAATAGTACACATTGAATCTACACCAACTTCAACTCGAAGTTCTTAACCAGGACCTCCCCACCCAGCTTGCTTGTCGCAAAGTTGAACACACCGAATCGGTATCCCGTGAAGAACTGCCATGTATTCGCCATGTTGTATGCAGGACCAAGTTGCACGAACTTGGTGCCATCAGTGCTGTACCAGAAGGTTGTTTGTCGCACCGCGTTGGTGTTGGAGAAAGCTGGCGTGATGTCTGACTGGACGCGGAACCACAGATCGGTTGTGCCGGCAGCAAGACTAGGCCCCGTGGCAGCGACAGTACCGGTAGACTTCGTCGTTCGGTCTGCGTTCAATTCCAAGCCGTTGACCATTACCAACTTTGCCGCAGAGCCTTCTTTATGTATACCGATGTATGCTCCGGTGTCACGGAAAAGTACAGCGCCAGCACGGTCGCCAGTGGCCATTTTGCTGATGTCGATCTTGAAAGTTCCCGATGACTTCGGGCCAAGGATACGGTGTGTCAGCGTATTGCGCGCCGCGTAGAGGTCATTCGTAACAGAAGCAGTCTGTAACTTGATGCCACCAGCCCCGCCTACTAGGCTCCACTTGCTGGTATCAGGGTTGTGGTTGAATTCCCACTCTGCACTTAAAGCTGTTCCAGTAAATTTGTCCAAGCCGGTGGGTGGGGGGACGGTCTTGGCGGTTGTGACTGGCATAGGGTATGTCTTGCCCCATTCACCATTCACTTTCTCAACTTCCGGCCATCCATCCGCCGTCCACTTCAAAGGCGCAGCGACAGGAATGCGTCCACCAGGGTACGAGTCCATAAACGCAACGTAATACCACTTCCCATCTTTGGTATCAACTACGCCACCTTGGTGGCTGTTACCTGCGTTCGGCAAAGGTCCTGCAATGCTGTCGACGAGGATTCGCGCCTCATATGGGCCCCAGGGACTCTTTGACTTCAACACCCACTCGTCATCGGCCGGCTTGGTAGCAAAGATGTAGTATGTGCCGTTGATCTTGTACATGCGCGAACCTTCGAGGTATAGGCCATTTGGATCTTCATAGACTTGTTGACTCCTGACTTCCGCTGTGCCGTCGGCGTTCAATTGGGCAACCTTGAGCTGGTACTTGTCGTATACGATGTACATGGTGTCATCATCGTCAATAAAGATCCCGTTATCGTAATAGCACTTGGGGAATGAGCCCGCGGCAGTCCAATTCCAGCTCGACACTTCGCCATTGTTGGCGGCTGCATTGTTCCCGTCGGCAGTCCATATGTACGACTTCCCGGTGGATTGAACACAACCAATCCAAATGAACTTATCGGACGATTCGCGGTATCTCAGTGAGCTGGCCCAGATGCCCTTGACGTAAGCATGGCCTGCTGTGTTATCGAGGTCGTATATCGAGCCGAAGTTAAGTCTTGGTACGCTATGAGTTACTGGTGTCCAATTAACGAGGTCGTAAGACTTTAGGACCGGAGCTCCTGGCGAGAAGGCGAAAGTCGAGGAGGAGTAGTAGAAAACATCGCCTATCCGGAAGACGTCGAGGTCGGGATAGTCTTGCCACAAGACTGGATTGTTGAACGTTGTAGCCCGACTGGTAAGCTCGTTGCTGGCGAGTGGGCTTCCCACGGCCGACCGAGACAATAAGCTGGCGAGCGCAATAGCTGAAGAGAAGCGCATGGTGGCTGGCGTATGCAATGAATGTGCTTGTGAATCGAGCGACGATGCCCTGGAGCATTTATACCAGCAATGGGCATTGCGCTATTTCGAGTGGCGCATGTCATCTCTGGAGAACCTTGTCTATTGTAACATGTTCATCAATTACCCCACATAGCCCTCTCAGGAAGTGCGCTACCGCTCAAGACGCCGTATTTACATTGAAAACCCGGGGTAATCACCGCACCAAGTTTGGGGTCGTCGGACCGGCTTCGCAACGCTCTTTCCCATTGGTGCAGCTCGGCTTGAGTTCTTCCGACTGGACACAGGCTGAGTGATCGACGTCGTCATTGCCGGTGGCTATCCGTGGTGTCGTGAGTTTTACCGAGCGTGAAGATTTGCGACAATGCCGTATACATAAGATGAGATGCGAGGGGAGATGACATCGAGTGTGAGATAGAGGATGCAGGGGTAGATGTCAAAGCAAGAGGGCCCGAGCGTCAACCGTGTTTCGTCCGAGCTTCCAGACACGTTCCTTTAGACCCTGCACCAGCCTCGCTGCGGCGAAGAACATAGCGCAGACGTCTACCTGCTCTAATCCAGTCCGGCTGGTGTGCTTCCAACAATGCGACCTCTTAGGATGACGTTAAGAGTGTTGTTGTTCGTAGAATGACAGCTTTCCAAACAGGGTGTGACCTTTTCCTAGAGTCGGCACAACTTTTCTCCGATCGTCTTAGCCCGTTTGTATGTCATCTTCGCCCTGTACTTCACTTATCGTCACACAGAAGGACATGATCGGTGTGAGCAAAGAGCTACATTGCTTGTATGCACATACCCTTAGACTGCTTCCCCAATTTGGCAATTTGTACAAACATGGGGTGCAGATACGGGATGCACATGGCGCATGCCAAGAGCAGACAGGACTCTCTGGAAGAGGAGGCAGACGACTGATGAGGGGACTAAATCGGTTCGTTTTTCACACATTGCCTGGCGGCGAACCCCTCTTGCCCGTGGTCGCCACATTAGACTCGATATGATACGAGAACGGACACTACAGGCAAAGTTGGCTGGCTTCACGAGACCAATGGCTTCGATGCTTTTTCGTTGCACGGCGATCGGACATAAGTCTTCGCCCCCACCCTTCAACTACATGAAGGTTTGCTAACGCTCATTACAAATCACGGCTACCTTGTCTTGTGGCTTGGAATGCGGTATGAATGCTAGTCAGCGAAGGATGGTGGCCTAATAGCAACTGCATAAATAGTTGTCGTCATCTTACCAGGACGAAACGCCCACAGAACAACTCGAACTCCTCGAAGATTACTGAAGCGGCCACTCTATCAAGATTGTTTGCTTCTACTCCTTTTCAATGGACGAATTTGAGCAATACCTCGAGAAGGCGACTGCCAAAGGCTCGGACATTGTGCCCGGAGCGGTGATGGCTGTCGTCGATAAGGATGGTACTTTCCCCATACTATCTCCAGATATATGTATCTCACACGCGCTGCAGGCAAATTCATCTACAAGAAGACCGCAGGTCACAATGGCGTCACTGAAGATGCGGAGCCTATGGACTTCGATCGAACCTTCTTCATTGCATCCTGCACAAAGCTCATCACCGCTATTGCTGCCCTGCAGTGCGTTCAACACGGTTTAGTCACGCTAGATGAACCAGTCGATCAGTACCTACCAGAGCTGGCTTCCCAGCCCATCGTTCAGATGGACGGCTCCGAGATCAAAGTGCGTCCAGCCACGAAGTCCATCACGCTGCGTCAACTTATCACGCATTCCAGTGGCACGACGTACGGTAAGTGTTTCTAGACGGACAGCACACAGCATGGACTGATTTCGCCAACTTGTAGACTGGGCTTCTCCAAGTCTTTACGCGTGGCGAGCCTCGCGCGGCGAACTACCCGCTCTGATCACCGATGGCAACGTGGCTAAGAAGTATGCCTATCCACGAACCTTCGAAGCTGGAGAAGGCTGGGAATACAGCGGTGGTTTCGATTGGACCAGTTTGCTCATCACGCGTTTGACCAACATGAGCTTCGAAGAATACGTCGAAATCAACATTGCAAAGCCTCTCGGTATAACTTCATTTACCTGGCATCTCAATCGCAAGCCCGCAGTTGAAGCAAAGCTGATGCGCACGAGCACTCGGCAAGACGACGGCAGTCTCACAGATGGCCCAACACCCTTTTGGTCTGGCGACCCTGTCGGAGAAGGTGGTGGAGCGGGCTTGTATGCCAATGTGTACGACTACACGCGCGTGCTTGCCGATCTTCTCAAGCTCTCGCCTATTATCCTCTCCAAAACCATGGTCGACGCCATGTTCAGCCCGCAGTTCGCCGAAGACAGTCTCGCGGCCAAGGCACTCGTCGATAACGCCGAACTCGCTTATACCTGCACGTTGGACGCCAGTATGGAAGGCGTCAAACCGAACTTCGGACTTGGTAGCCTGTTGTTGATGGAAGATGTGGACCGAGAGAACTACTTCAAGCCGAAGGGTACGCTGTGCTGGTCAGGACTTCCGAATTTACAGTGGAGTGTCAATCGGGAGAGGGGAATCGCGCTTTTCTTTGCCACGCAGGTGTCACCTTGGGCGGATCGCAAGACGTTCGATCTTGTCGCAAGATTTGAGACGGCTGTTTGGCGAAACCTGAAAGCGTAGAGTTGGCGGCAGTTTATAGTTAGCAAGATTACTGGTTCTTTCGCAGTGTACCTTTGCTATGCATGCATTGATGCCTCTTACTTCAACGATCGCGCTTACATAATTGCGTCTGTGCGCTACTGCGGTGGTAAAGGTGAACGTGGAAATGGCGAAGTTTCCAACGGCGCTAGCTCTCACAGACTCACACAC